AATCACACAGGCCCCTCGGTCTCCATCCCGCCGGCATCTGTATTTGATGCCAGGGGCTCTCACACAGGCCCACCTGGCCTTGCACCCCTCCGTCACCTTTATTTGATAACGGGGGGTCCTTACAAGCTCCTCAGCTTTTTCATGCAGGATCTAAGGCTGGTCTTCGATATCCCCTCAGCAGACGGACACAACCACCGCTCAAAAATCTGGGCCGAAGGGTGCATTCCTTTTGCTTCATTCTGGGGGCATCCGGTGTACTCTTTTTCCCTCATTAGGATTTTTTTCCCACAGGGTTTTTTCCTAATGAGGTTTTTAACGAGGCATCTCCCCATTGTGGAACAAAAGGCGTCGCCCCTCGACGGCTCCTGCTGAAGGCATGCATCACTCTACTCCTGTTTCCCTCGAGAAACTCTCGGCAAAAGGAGTGGGGGACTGGGGGACTCCTCTCGGCAAAACACGCAAATGTTAAAAATTTTCTATTTCTCAGCTACAGCAAACTGAGGCAAGATCACAACGGCAATCTACTCCCCTCGACATGATGCTTTCGGCTTACAGAATGCCTCCGGCCACACAATGCCTTCGGCCACATGATGCCTCCGGCCACACAATGCCTTCGGCCATATGATGCCTTCGGCCACATGATGCCTTCGGTCACATGATGCCTTCGGCCACATGATGCCTTCGGCCACACGATGCCTTCGGCCACATGATGCCTTCGGCCACATGATGCCTCCGGTCACATGATGCCTTCGACCACACAAAGCCTTCAGTCACCAAATGCCCTCGGCAAAGCACACAAATGCAGATCTCTCATTACTTTACAAATTACAACAAAGAAACACATACGAGCAACACACTTACACTCCCTTCAGGGAAGCTCTCAGCCCTCGACATATGGGGGAATTGAGAAAATGAGGCACCCAACAGAACGGGGAAGCCTTCGGGGAAATCACCACAGCTACTCCTTTTCCCTCAAGTACCTTTCGGCAAAAGGAGTGGGGGACTCCTGATGGAGTATATGGCCCAGGGACCCCCGTCCCACATACTTCCTCTACTACAATCAGACCCAATAGGCCCAAACGGGCCAAGCCCAGCAAAATGGAGCTCTAAGCAGCCCACAATACGCAAAGGGGTGCCTTCGGCTTTATGGCCGAAGGCTACCAGTGACGGAATCGAGCTTAGAAACATCACAGGAGAACAAGGCTTGAAAACCAAGCCTTCGGCAACTGCAGCCCTCGGCAGGTAGGAGCCCTCGGTTAGAAGAGGCATCACAGGAGAACAAGGCTTGAAAACCAAGCCTTCGGCAACTGCAGCCCTCGGCAGGTAGGAGCCCTCGGTTAGAAGAGCCTTCGGCCCAGCACCCTTCAGCCGAAGGCATCCACCTCGACAGAATATCCTCTTCACATGCGCCTGGATCACCGTACCAAGTACAAACGTCACATCCAACCACCGCATTTAATGCGGCCACATGCGAGTGTCAGTGCCACCCCGGTCGAGGTGACCCCTCGACCACCAGAAAACTGACACGTGTCCTTATATTACTGCTATAAATAGCACTCATTTCCCCCATTGTAAACCACGCTTAATACATATCGAATATACACTCTCTCTCTTACTTATTTGCTCTGACTTCTCTCTAGTTATTCTCCGCAATAACCCCTCGGATAAGCTACCCCTCGGGTACACTATCCATCACGTTTATTGATATGGAAACTAATTTATACGGAGTATTAGTTTACTACACCGAATTAAATAGAAACAAATATGCAAATTAGTTTACTTATTAATTTGACACCTATTAATAAATTAGTAAGCTTAAAATAAGTAAATAATTAAAAATGAAATTAAAAATTATAACCAACATAAAGTATATAGTTTCACAAGTAAATATGTTTAGCTTAGCCAAATAATTAAATTTTTTTGATTGTTTCTTTATTTTACACCTAAAATTCAAATATGTCTTCACTTTTGAAATAGATTCCTAATCCAAATTAGAAAATCTTTATAGGTTTACGAATTCCTACTTTTATTTTAATAGAACGTTTTTAATTGGATTGATTTCAGTTCCAGATCAAATCAGATCAGATCAAACTTTAATAATTATAACAATAAGTCACATAAAAACAGACATCTAATAGACCATATTCATTCATACCAAATCAAACCCGAAATTTTAATTTAATTAAAAACGTTCTTGTTAATGAGTAAACTGTAAGATCTAACAATTAAGAAATATAGATTTTTTTTAATTGGGTTCATAACAATTATGTTTACTTGAGATGCTTATGTAAAAGACCAATTTAACTTTTTTTTCATATATTTTTTTCTTTGTTTCACAAATGGAATATATTTCACATATATTTTTCATGATTCAGAAGATTCCACCTATTTAACTAGAATTCAATCAATTTCAGCAAAATAAGTTAATTCTATTTAGTTTAGTATTATCAAACAGACTCTATATTAGACTAAGTTTATTTTTCTTTTAAATCACATTATATGTGATCCGATAGAAATTAAATTTCAAATTAGCTAAATTACATACTGCTCGTGTATCGCACGAGCTTGAAAGCTGGTTTTTATTTATAATAAAAATGAATAACATAAAAATTATAATACGCATAATAAATTGTAAATATTAGAAAAATAAATATTAAAATAAAATTAATAAATATCAAAATTAGAAAATAAAAAATTGTAAAATAAAAAGCTTAAAATAAAAATAAAAAGGTAAAAACGTAAAAAAATATAAAAAAATATCCAGGCCTCAACTGTTGTCTCAACAACCTCCTAGCACCACCATTTCCCATCACCAGAAAAGAATGTCAATATGTGTCAAAAATGTCAACTTGATGATAGTTTTCGTGAAAGTTTTGACATTTTCTAAAAGTAAAAATGCATATGCATGCATTTTCATAGAAATATGGCACTTTATTACTCAAAATGGTATTTTTTTTGCTGATCGGATATGACATTGTTGGGTGGTGGCCGAGACTACGATAAAGACCTCTATCTTTTTTTATATTTTTCAATGTAGTTTATCTATTTTTTATTTATTTTTAAAGTTTTTTATTACTCCCTCCGTTCCTATTAAAACTTCCAAGTGGGTTGGGTACACAATTTAAGATAGTGGATATTGTGTGGTGGAGAGATGTGCAGAGGAGAGAGAAATGTGTAAAAAATGTTGTGAACCACAAATTGTTTACCAAAATGGGAAAGTGGAAATTTTAATTGGAACGGACGAAAAAGGAAAGTTGGAAGTTTATTTAGGAACGGAGGGAGTAATTTTTATTTTTTTTATAAAAAAATATTTTTTTGTTTTTATAATTTAAATATTTTTTTAATATATCTTTGATTTTTTATATTTTTTAGTATTTTTTGTATAAGTTAATATAGTTTTTATTATTATTTCTTTTTATTACAAACTAAAATTAATTATCCTATTTGGTTAAAATTAATTATCCTTTTTTGAAAGGCATGTTTTGTCCATCCTCAATAAAAAGAACTAAATTGTTGCGCTAATCGTAAGTTCTGGGATTAGACATAAAATCAGTCACCTCATACAAAGTAACACGATTCTCTAATTACCAAATGGGCAAATTTAAGTCTAAAACAATTGGAACTGAAATACAAATATTTAACCAAATTTACTCGAAGTAAAATAAACATAAGTACTACTAAAGAACTAAAAAAAATTGAAATAAAGTTTTTCGATAAAATTTTTCGCGACATGGAGGTGGTTCTAGAGGAGAACGTGCTCTATCATTATCTACGCATACCAAAAGAAAGCAGCCAGAAACATCTAATCAGACTAAGCTGGCCGGTATACCAAAACAACTCCCCATATCGAGGCAGACAAAACAACCCGGAGCTCTAGTGCCCAGGAAATAGCCGCCAAAACACAGAAAAAACACTAACAGAAAACAAGAAAGATCTAATTGGGTTATACCACTACCAAGAATCTCCGCTACATAGAACACGACAACACGTCATGGAATCCGCTATATCGAGGGAGACAAAACAACCCGGAGTGCCCAAGAAATAGCCGCCAAAACACAGAACAAACACTAACAGAAAACAAGAAAGATCTAATTGGGTTATACCACTACCAAGAATCTCCGCTACATAGAACACGTCATGGAATCCGCTACCTACTTGAATGCATCGTCCATGCTCTTTCAGACCATGGGGATGAAGCGAAGAGGACAACATATGTGAGGCACGCCGGCATCGAGCTTACTTTTCTGACTTCTGCTATACGCATTTTAACCTTGAAAAGGGTATAAAATAAAGTAATGATTTCCAAATAACTAGAATCATTTTTTTTCTATTTAAAACAAAAACTAAATATAAGGAGTACTGATTTTTAAAATTAGAAGTATATTTCTATTTTAGAGAAAATTCCCTAAATAGTGAACTGAATCTACTATTAATATTATTATGGAGTATTTATTTCAAGAAAAGAATTGCTAACACCTAATTTTTCAAAAAAAATAGCTTGTTTGGGCTTACATTTCAAGCATATATAATATATATCAAATGTTTTTTCTGTTTTTTTTAAATAGAGATTTTTAACTAACTTTTCGCTCGTATGTCATTGGATGTAGGTCAGTAGGTGTACGCTATTGCCTATTTTCACTACATTCAAGGTCACTGCTGTTTGAGTTGAGAAATCTTCCTTGCATTGATCCATTAGGCTAAAAATGGTAGAATTGGACTGCAGACAACTAAACATCCCGTCATTTTTATACAAATTATTTTGATTGACACATAACATCTCAAATAGGAGTAGACATGTGCCAGGTCCGGTCCAGTTCCGAAACTATCTTGTTCCCAGTCCCAGGCTAAAGGTGCGTGTAACCGGTGTCGTATGATCCTGGACGGCTGGACCATTTCTGGTCCCAACCAGTTCTGGCTCCAGTTCTGGTCAGCATCTTTACCTTGTTTCGAAAAAAGTAAATAAAAACCTGGAATGTTTCAGATTCAGTCCTATTTTTGAGATACTAAAACAGTTTGGACTGGTTCTGGATACAGGTACACTCCTCATCTCAAACAAATTGTAATCGAAATCAGGACTTTGAAGTAGTGAATACGTTGTACAGAGAAATCACAAAATCACTTCTGAAAGACCATATATTCCTTAGAATCTCAACACAAGGGAAAAAACAATTATGCTATATAGGCCTGGATGAAATAGAACTTTGGTACAAAATACAAAATATTCAGTTGCCATTTAGTCAGAGTCAGACGAATCTGCATTTGAACTTTGGCGAACACTCCTAGATTTTGATTTTGATTTTGATGCATGTAAAGATGATTCAGTGTCAAGATGGATGACTCCAGCTTTGGCTATTCTCTCTTCTAGCTCCTCGGTGCTAAAATCATCTTTTCCACCAAGCTCATCAAATCCGACCTACATATAGAACACATAAGACAGAAGCCACATAATGATCAATACTCTGTATAAAAAAACAAGCACAATAAAAGCACAAGGATGACCAAGTTTAGTTGGTTGTTTGATACCCACTTTACCGTTGCCCTTAATACCAAACACTGAGAGCTTCTGTTTGGCAAGACCTAAAATGGTTGAAGTGGATATAACTGCTGAATATGTTAACATTATAGCTGAATTGACTGGATTTGGAGAATTATTGATCTAAAATGTTGTATAAAATATATTTCTTGAACAAATTACAAAAAATAGTTGAAGATAGAAATGTGATTTTCTTAAACTTGATTAGTATTTCAGCTGAAAAGGTAACAACCACATTACTTTATTCATTACAAGACAATTCAGGCAGCATGGTAAAACAGGCTAGTGGTGGTAAAAAGCATGGTTGGTAAGCCGACAAAGGGTATACTGACCCGGCTCTAATGCATTCATCTGCTTGTTGAAAGTTTGTACTAAGTAAAAAATTGTGTAAGAGTAACATGGGGTAACTGCTTGGCTGAAGTTGCTCAAAAATAATCTTTTCAGCTTTCAAAGTATTTTCCTTTATTTTGATAAATACAAGTTAAAAGTTTTTCTTATTTCAGCAAACGTCATCTCTAGCAACCACTACTTCAGTAATTTTGGCCTAATCCAACCTTAAACTATCAGACTCGAAATAATTTGAAGAATGAAAGATCTTCACAATACACAACATACCACGTAATCCTCCACTTTAGCATTTTTTACGAGGGCAATTGTTGGGAGAACAGTAATCCTCAGCTTCTCGGCCAAGAACGGACTTTTCTCTGCATGAATTTTAACAAAACGTGTCTCTATATGCTGTTCAGCCAGCATACGCATATGTTTATCCACAACCTGTCATCATACAGCACTTTTAACATCTCTCAATAAGAACCCAGAACATATAAGTCACTTAAATATGCATAAACGTGATAAAACTGTATACTGTGCAACATTACAGTTTCAGCTTATTTCAAGAAAAAATTTGAAACTTCAAAACTCAAATGCAACCAAACCTAAAACTTTCCAGCAATCACATATTTACACACCAACTTTTTTTAAGGCAATATAACAAAATATGAATTCATATTTATACCTGAATGAGGTCAATCGCTTGAATCTAGAAGATGACAGACGTTAAATATTCACCACCCATATATATACATATTTACATATACACTTTAAGTATAAAAACGAATCAATTTAACTACAATGGCGACACTTCATGTTAAGTTACCTTGCAAGGCCAATTGTCGCGGTAGAAATGACAGACAACACGCTCACTGGCCTTTACTATGGAGAAGAAATCTTTCTCAGACATAATTTCCGAGTACTCCCCGTGGCCGAGAGATTTCCAACGGTTCCGCTTCTCTGCCATTTTCTTCATTTGCTGCAATCTCCGCTCCCTCAGCACCTCAATGTCGTCGAGATCTAGCCGATCTAAGGCCGCAATCTCTTCATCGAGCTTGTCCTCCACAGCCTTCACTACCGTCAGCACTTGCTTCTCTAATATCTGGCAAAAAAAGTAAAAACACAAACAAAATCACGTTATTGTAAGAATAGGCTTTTCTTTAAAACAAATAAATCCATTTTTTCGAAAACCGCCGGTGAATTATGCAGGGATGTGTATATAAAATACCTCTTTAAGCTGTGGATTCTCCATTGATTGATTTGAGAAGATGCACCACTGAAAGTGTTTGCAAAAGCTCTTGTTCTAGAAATTTAACAATGGGAGGCTCTTGAAAATAGGAATTGTTCACTTCTGGATGGGTATAGGATCCCAAATTCCCAACAGAAAAGTGGGAGAAGACCTTTAGGTGCAATTCTTTGATGATTAGAACATGAATACATGATATTTTGCTTTAGTATCTATTGTATTATAGAAGTATTGGCCGCATAGAAGTATAAAATCCCTTACATTGATTATGTTAAGCAGAAAAATACAGTCACAATTGTGTTCATTGTTCAACAAAGATATTTTCTAGGAGATTATATTTGAATCCAGCTTATGCAATAGGTGATTATTTTAAAAACACGGCATTCATGCTTTAAAAATTACTAATTTTGAAAAGTTCCATTTGCGACAATTTGGAGTATGATTTTTTACTTGCAGAGTGACAAGTTTTCTGAAAATAAAAGCATTATTTTTTCTGCCATATTGGAATCTTAGGTAAAGAACCCATATCTTAGTTTTTCTGAATCGATCTGGTGACGAAAATTACAAAAACACATTGTTAAATTTGTAAATCTGAAGAAATTTACAAAGATATCGTAATTAGGTTTCTCAAGAGTTTGCTTAGGTTTCAAAAAATAATAATATCAGTAATTTAACTAAATATTTATGAACAAAAATGAATTAAATCAATGAATGAAGGACTGGAGGAATACCGGAACTACGGAATGTGAAATTTAAGAAGGACCCATTGGCCGAACCGCCGAAGGGTGAGTGGCGGAGAGAAGGCAACCGGGCGACGGGCTTGAGATGATTCCTGACGAAGCGTGCTACGATGCTTGCGCCTGCTGGAGGGAGAAGGCGTGAAGGAAGTCGGCGACTTGGCCGGCGCGTTCGGACACTCAACCGTGGTGGATGACGGATGATCGAGAGATGTCGATGAGTTGCTCCAAATATGCCTTTTCTTAATTTTGGTCCTTTGGGCAGTTGGGCATTGCAAACACAGAATATTGGGCCTTGAATTTAAAATATTATCTATGTTTGGTTAGCCCAAATTGATTTCATGGAAAAGCCTGGTCGTAAATATTAGGTTAAAGGGCTAGAATCTGCGTTCAAAATTACGAGCCCAAAACCCGTTTGCCCAGATTTTATCTACTGCAGTTCTCACTCTCCGATTCCACATTTCCACCACTCTTCTAAGCAGATACTTTCAAAAATCTTTGAAATTCTGAAATCCCTAGTGACTATTACCGATTAGTCCGAATTCCACCAATATGGCTTTGTCTATTGGGTTGTTTTCAGGATTTGTTCCCGGAGAAACTACGACGTACTTCAAGCCGTCGTTTTCGGCGTCTACTTTGAGAATTGCGCCTTCCCTCGCTAACTTGCAGACTTCGCGCACCATGATCGTCGCCGCTTCTTCTAAGCCGACCACGGAGACGAAGAATCCCGGCGTACGAGGCCTCATGAAGCCACGTCGTGTCTCCCCGGAAATGCAGGCGTTCCTCGGTGGAGTTGCGGAGACCCCCCGTACTCAAGTTGTGAAGGCCGTTTGGGATCACATTAAGAAGCACAACCTTCAGGTAATACATGTGCTTCGCCGCCTTAAATCTTAAAAGAGCGCTTTGGCCACTGTATTTAAAATGTTGTTGGACATTTTCGTTTATGTTTTTACTCTAGAACCTTTATACATCGTATTTGAAATTTGATAATGAAAATTAGAAGTCACAGAACTGCCTGTATGAACACTTTGGTCAGAAATGAAGATTTCATATATTTTTTCAATATATTCTTCACAGGAAACAGACTTGTAATCAGATAATAACTCGCATTATGCTATATAGGAATGTTGATCTGAAATGTATGAAATTGGTTTTGCTCTATTATGGCATTTGATTATTAATGGCTCTGTTTTTGGGAAAATTAAGTCTTATACCCCAAATTGTGAAAACTACATAAGTACATACTTTAATGTGTTAAATAAATGTTTTGAACGTTATGTTATGCGTGAATACATTTTCTGCACCATAAATGTTGGATGTTTGCTTTCACAAATGTAAGTATAGCATGCCAAAGCGCATAATTCTGAATACTCTGAACATTCAGGTTGAGCATAAACGTCCTAAACTTACATTTTTGAAATAAATAATCTTGGTTCATATAGTTGAGATGGATGTAATATACAGTTCCATGGTATTTGTTTCACTCCTTAAAGTTCGGTGAGTTGAGTTCACACATCCTCGGAGTTTGGGGTATTTAAATTATTTTTTAGAGGCATTTTTAATGAAACAGTTAATTGTCCAACCATTTTGTCGGGCGTTAGGCAGATGTTGCTTTAAAGCTGGCGACGCTTAGACAACCGTCAGTCTTGAATCATAAAATATTGATCACAAGATGTTCAAAGTTATTTTTATTTTCTCTCCCAACACGGCAACACTTATATTGTATACTTTGAACTTTAAGCTGTGGTATGGTCACTAAATAATATAATACGTAGTATGTTCTTAATAAATTATAAGTTTCCTTTTCAGTAATTAAATATAATATTTTAATACAAAAAAAATGTGAACTTTGTGATTGTGTTAATTGGTGTAGCTTATCTTTTTTTAAACATTTACTGGTCATCTTCTAATGTATTTACCTTTTCTGATATTTCTGTTGCATTTTATCAGTGGCTGATATACAAAATAAAAAGCTCTTGTTGATTGACCAACGGTCATTGCGTGTAAGCTTTTATTATGTTTGCCTATGCATGGGTCCGTTTGGATGAAGGGTTTTGAAGAGATTTGAAGAGAAAGACTTTAGAGAACATAGACTATATCTTGACAAATAGATTGGTGATAAGAACAGACAAACGGTGATTGGAATGTGATGAAATCATATACTATCGTATTAAGTAAATCTTTCAATATTTGTAAAAGCTCAAATATTTATCAAGAGACTAAGGCTTTCTTTGCTTAGAATGTAAGATGATGCAAACACACTTCACTCATTTAATTTTGATTATTGGAGAAAGTGTGAAACAGAAGTTCCAAAATTTATTTCGGGCAGTCTTTCTGGTTACACATTTTGGCCAATGAAATTTTTGTGCAATTAGAGATAATGCTAAGCCTTATCACTGAACACCATTTCCTGGGATAGATTTGACTCATAAATGGATTTAAAATGTATTTTAGACAATTGTCAATGATACTAAGATCATAGAATGAGTATGGAGAAATTTGACTTAATTTGAACCACAACTAGATTAAAAATGTGTGCTAGGAAAAAGTTTGTGAAATTTATTGAACTAACCATGGATGATGTATGCAACCTGCCTACCTCCAGGTGTGTAGCTCAATGGGAGGCAGGGGTGAGTGGGTGACTTAGGGTTAGTTTGGAATTTGGATTGGGGGGTTTGAAGTTTTTTGGAGGAATCGCAACTTAATAGCTCAATTGCTCTCGGCTTGTTATCATAACATTCTATTTATCAAGATAGATTCTAAGCTCTTCAAAGCCTTCCAGTCTGAAGCCCTCCACCAAACTGACCCCTAGGTGGGAGTTTGGAGGTGGGCTGTTAGTCTACAAGTAAAGCTTGATATATATTTGATTTTACAAAAGGTGAAAGATTAATGTAATAAGGAGTATGTTATTGTATAATGTTTCAAACTTTCAATAACCTTTTATTCATTTTAGAAACATTATGTTTATCATGATATAGAATGAGCCTCCTCCAAAACCCTACATAAAAAAAAAAACTTATAAAACCGTAGGTCAAGGCCTGCTAGCGTTCTACCATCATGATCTTATACTACTAACTCTGCCTCTCTATGTGCTTACCTTTTGCAGGACCCTACAGAGAAGAGGATTATTGTGTGTGACGAAAAGCTGAAGAAAATATTTGGAGGAAGGGATCGGGTTGGGTTCCTTGATATTGCAGGGTTGATTAGTCCTCACATTCTCTAATTATTATTATTATTATTATTACAACCAGATGAATGGTGTGCATGCTTGCTGCCTATGAAAAGAATGTCAATTTTGTAAAGGAAAGTTTGATGGCTTATGCAGACATGTGTTCCTTAGGAATCCCATTCTGCCATCTTCATGGTTTCCTTTATTTTGACTAGTGCCGCTATTCAACATGTTAATGCTGTCTTGCTGATTACAATAATAATTATTTCTGTTTTTATTATTAGTATTATTGTTATAATTATTTTTATCGATTTCATTTTATCAATTTCATTACAATTGGAATTACTTTTTGCGCATCGATGGGAAAGCATATATCATAAGCTCCTATTTGATTGCTTATGCTATCGGTGGCGACGTGGCCTATCCAATTTGAGTGCGTATACCGTGCAACCGGTATAGGGTACCGTATAGGATGAGCACCGTATACCGGGACGGTTTTATATTTTTTTTTCCTTTTGTTTTTAAAAAATGGTTATAACTTTTTTATTTTTGATCCGATTTTTATAAAATTTATATCAACATTTTTTATTTTTCATGATCTTTCAAATGAGACCAATATTGCCTATGTAATTTTAACATATTAACATTTGTGTGTAAAATATGTAACTTTAAGTGTTAAAATATGTAACTCACGTTCAGTCAAGTCAAATGCAACTCGTGTGTATAAATATGTATCTCTACGTGTAACAATATGTAACTTTACGTAAAAAAATATGTAACTTGCGTTCAGATAGGTCAAATGCAACTCGTGTGTATAAATATGTAACTCGTGTGTATAAATATGTAACTTAACGTGTAAAAATATGTAACTTTACGTGTAAATATATGTAAGTCGCGTTCATGCATGTCAAATGCAACTCGTGTTTATATATATGTAACTCGCTTTTAAAAAGATGTAACTTGCTTATAAAAAGATGTAACTTGTTTATAAAAAGATGTAACTTGCTTATAAAAAGATGTAACTCGCTCATAAAAAGATGTAACTCAATGTATTATCAAATGTAACTGAGGCCACTGATCCACTCCCAAACAGATTCGATCTTCTATTTCACAAACCTATCATCTCCCAAACAGATTCGATTTTCCTTATAATCCAATACTCATTAATATAATAGTTCGATAATTTCTTAAAATTACATAAGCAATATTGGTCTCATTTGAAAGATCATGAAAAATAAAAAATGTTGATATAAATTTTATAAAAATCGGATCAAAAATAAAAAAGTTATTATCATTTTTTAACAACAAAAGCAAAAAAAAAGGGAGGGGACAAGCTGCGTCGTTTTGCAACCGGGCGCACCATGAGACCAATTTCCGATCCAATTTATGATTTGCGATCCAATTTGCATGGTATAATTTGCGATCCAATTTCCATAGGTCGAAAATTTTACATTTATGATTTATCTAATCATGATTTCGGTTGTAAAGAGCCGGATGTGCTCATCATGTGCATTGTTATGTGAATTAAAAGATCGTCAAAATCCTCATTCGTATAATCGTATGTAATAGAAATTCGGTTGCTTATTTGCATTTATTATATTCCCTCCTATTCACATTCTTCTTTACACTTTTCTTTTTTGTTAGTAACACAATAAACTTTACAATGCCTTATTTGTTTTACAAATCTATACCAAACAATGTAAAACAGTGTCAAAAAGTGTCAGTTACCGTAATTCCGTAAACTCAAATTTATTTTCTTAATCTTTGTGACGTCAAAGTGTAAAGAAAAACTACTATTTCACCCGTGCGATGCACGGGGAGCAATGCATGGAGGAGTATTTTGTATAAATGTACACACAAAGATTTCATATAATGCAAACAAATAAGGGCTTTTGCCTTCAATATTACTAAATTAAAACCAATTTCCAAAAATGTGACCATTTTTATAAAAGGACAAAAAAGTGACTAAAAAGGTGATATATTTAGAAAAACGGTGTCATTACCAAATAACAATGTCACTACCCAATTTTAATGTCACTGTGACCACCGTCCGTGTCACTCTGGTCACCATCCGTGTCACTGTCATATGTCACTGTGACCACCGTCCGTGTCACTACGGCCACCATTCGTGTCACTGTGGCCACCGTCGATGTCACGGTGACCTTTCCGACGTTCCATATATCCCTCAGCGCCGCCCCCCACCACCCCAACCCCTGTCTAGCAGCCTTCCTAGCCCTAGGCCACCGCCACTGCCCCTCACACCCTGCCTCCTTTCTAGCCGCTGCCCAACTCACCCCCACCCCCCCACTTCTTTAGCCCCAAGACCCCTCCCCATCCTCCCATGCCCCCTTCCAGCCGCCGCCCAACTCACCACCACCGGCCACAGGTCCCCAACCTAGGCTACCACGACCCAATTTTAAATGCACCCCGCACAGATTGGAGAAGCCCTAGCCTCACAATTGTCGCCCAAATGCAAGGAAACAACTCGAATCGGCGAAGAGTAGGCCTATATCAAAAATCAGTGAAGAACACATCGAGCCTCGTCGATGTTGCACCTGGATCGACGGAGATCGGTCGGAGCAAGGAGGTTAGATTGATGGATGTAGCAGGGAGGAGAAATTGATTGATGAAGCAGGGAGTGACGGCTCTGACCGTGTAGGGCGACGCTGACGGAGACGGCGACGGCTTGAGGAGATGGTCGGCGACGGGCGACGGCCTGAAGAGATGATCGACGGCGATGGTGTTCTGCTCCTGGGGAGTCGCTGTGTCTACGGGATAAGCTCGTTCAGCACAAGGGAATACATAAAGTTTCCCTGGTGACTTTTTTGGAAAATGGAATTTTGGTTATATTTTTGTCCAATGGAAGTTGAGGGATAATATTTGTGCCATTATTTCAACAAATAATGTATACATGCAATAACAGTCACATAATAAATTCCAAATAATAATATAATTATTAAAATACACATGAAAAAAAGTGACAAAGAATAGAAAAAAATGTCATTGCAACAAAAGAAGTTCTCATTGTCACACGTAATAAAATGTTATAACAATAGATAATAGTGTATAAAAGTCAAATACATTATGAAATACTTCTTTATACACGACATTAGAAGTCTTGTTCGAGCTTTCATTATTATCATCTAAAATTAAAATTTTCAATCCTCTTGTGTTTGTTACTCTAGAAGTTGTTATATATAATTGTTCGTGACAAAAAAAACCGTTTTTAATAACAAACTTACATGTGAAACTGATCTCTTATTTTTATTTATAGTTGTAGCATAAGCAGCCATGATTGGAAATTGCCTTCTTAAAAAATTAAAAGGAAGTCTAACATCTGAAGAAGTACATGTAGAGTCGGACTTTAGGAATCCATCGCCATGAGAGATCTGTTTAAAATGATTACTACTACGTATTTTGCAGGCTTTCACTATCTTCATTAGCGAAAGAACCTCTTTCATACAAAAATGAATTAAAATAATCTCAATAGTAGTTTGAAGGTATGTTTCAATTTGCATTATTGCACATTACTCACCAATTCCATTAGTATTTCACATAAGGTGTTGCACTGGGAGACTTTGCCTTCGATCCCAAGACGGTATCCCCATTTGTCGATTGGGACTCACCATTATCCCGAACTCCTTCAACTTGATAACAATTAAAAATTTCAAAATTCTTTTTAAAATGAGATATCAACATAAATTCAAATTGATATAAAAAAGTATATTATACTTCGTATATAATGTTCTTGGAACCATCACCAACTAATGGGTGTTTTACACCTTGAGGGTTGATATTTTCTATGTTTAGAAAAAAAAGTCTAGCAACAATTTATTTAATAAAAAATGGAATTTTATCTATTCAAGAATTGAAAGGTGGATTAGATATCAATCTGGGATCTGAAAGATGAAATGTATCGTATGAAACCTAAATGATTGAAAACTATCAACATAAGACCTAATTTGTTATGAAATTTATTATTATTTTATTAAAAAATGTAAAACAGTATTTAACTGTATTAAACTAAAAAACTTTTGTGAAGAAAAATTAATAAACATTAGCAATGAAGTTAATAAAAAATAAAATAAATTAAAACCTATGAAATTTTAGGTGCTAGATTGAGAGTTTTGAGTCACTCGAATCCTATACCGATATATTTCATCTTTCAGATCTTGAATTGATAGACCATCTATTTTTCAGGACGTGAATCGATAAAATCCCATAAGAATTGGTGGAGAAAATTCATCAATTTTTATACGTATAAATACCTTATACGCAATATATTTTTTATTATAAATTTTCAATTAAAGTAGTCTATCATAAATTGTTAATGGACCTACTATATTAATGAATTGCATATATATTTTAATTTTATTTAACTGAATTATTAACAATTTGGAAGAAGAATGTACTACGTATTTGTTAGAAAGTTATGCAATGGGTCATTTAATCTAATTACAATTTGGAAATCATATATTTAAAGATTTCCATTTTTACAATACTTAAAGTTTTTTATTTACAAAAACAGATAAGAGTCCATTGTAGAAGGAACCCAATACAAATTGATACTCTACACCGCCTAATCATTTACGGAGTATTTTGTTTGATCAGCAAACCCAACCCATTCTATTAACGCATTTCACCCGAGGGTTTATAAGACCAAATCGATTCATCTTCCTCCTCAAAACATCGGTTGAGCTTCACTCGTCTTTCAACTCGATTTCAGATGAGGTAATGGGAAAGCTTTTTTCATAATCAATCTTGTGATTTTTACTGCCTTTTTGCTTTAATTTTTAATTATAAATCCGATTAAAAATGAAGGTCTTCTGGCTTCTCAGTTGAAAACTGTTTCATGTCTGACTCAAACTCCTCTCCACTGTTTTTTCATTCGAAATTTATTACTTATTTTTCATATCATAAGATATACCAAAATTAATTTACTTTTTTGTATCTTGGAAGTTTGAGATAGTTTGCTTGTTTTTAAAACTTTAAAAAAGGAATTCTGTTCAGGAGAAATGGGCGTGTGAAAACGCATATATTTTGAGGGGGTCTGATAACAGATCTACACCAAGTTTCTGTATGATCATTTTTTCAAGACTCAGTTTTCAGTCACTTCATAAGTTTGAGATTGTTGTTTTAAGGAGATTTTGTTTCAATAAATTTCTAATTTGTTGGGTTCCAGTGGTCCGGCAGAACATGCAACAAATTATTAGGTGATGCCCTTATTTCAATTACTCCGTAGGTTTTATTTAGATTCTGTCATACTCATACCGAGTAGATGGTAATACCCTTTTTGTTATCTCTTTTTAAGGTTTAGCTCTTGAAACACGCCTTTTCATTTTAGTTGCAGAATATTAGATACGTATTTCTCTAAGCTAATTATCTTTCGGTTTCTTTTATCATGTAATAGTGATGTGAAAAATTTATTTTTATTTAATACGTAGTAAAAACTTGTATCAGCATTTTGTTAAAAATGGCTTATAGAATAAGCTAGTTATACTCAATATGCATCTTAGTTGATTTTCCATATTCTTCTTTATAAGAAGCAATAGTGTAGATCAACTAAGAATAAAACTTCCTACTTCTGGTTTTTTCAAATTTTGAGACTTTTTTGTATTTGACATTTTAAAATAAATTAGTTCCAGAATTTTGTAAGTAATGGTTGTAAATATAGCTTCAATAAATTATGTCATAACTGTTTTTTGACTTACCAAAAAAGAGTAATTATTTTTTGAGTTTTATTGATATATACGGAGTAATAATTTAAAATTTGTCTGTCTCATCTCACACTTCTTTATAGACATCAATCATGCAAATTGTAAACTTTTACATACTTTGAATATATCTAAGATTTATTGACTTGTTTATCCTAACATAATTTCATTGTAATCACTCAATTGCTTTTAAAATGATACGGAGTATCTTATTAGAAAACATTGATGCGCGATACTTGCACTTATCAATATAAAGTTACAGTCCTAATTGATATTTTATTGAAGATTATGATATACAATTTTATTGAAACCAAACAATTATTATTACCAATGTTTTCAAGATTGTTGCACGATTAAGTATAGCACCTTCATCATATGCAGAAGGTATATATTACCTGTAAAACCTGTTATACTTACTAATGAGTCAACTCAAATATGTTACTAACTGAAATATACACCCTCATCCTGTATATAGTACTCTGTAGTATACTACAAACTAAAATATGATATCAGGATCTTGACCACGAACTGAGATATGCACTCTCATGGCCTCATCTTGTAAAACCTTTTATAGTTATTATTCTTTATTTTGCTTAATCAACGTCTAAATCAATAAACCAAATGTCCCTCTGATAATTTTGTGAAACAATATCTGCTAGGATCTTCTTTACTTAATCCCGCATGCATGTATCCTTGTACCCAGAACACTTATAAATTATAAAGCGTAAGAAGAAGACATTATTAGTACAATATTGAGTTACCTATCACTTGCGGAGAAGCTTCACGACCCTGAGTGAGGACATTTTAGATTCAAATTACTTTGTTCTCAATTCCCCATGTTGGTTTTACTTGATTAATACTACGTATTTGTTATCACTCCCCACGCTTCAAATTTCAAAATATATACTACTACGTACATATTAAATAAAAGTGTCAGTTAGATTATTAGATTGAATACTTGGATTGGATCATAATGTTCTGTTGTAATGGAGATTGTTCTAGACACTCATAAAGTCGATGAATAATGCTTTGCTATTATGGGTTATTTATAGGGTGTATATATTTCTAACAATGACAGATATATTAATTGGGCTTCGGTTTCTGCACAAGAAGGTGAACGGCTGGGACAATTGGACAACACATTAACGTTATTGATTCATGTTCCCAACTTGTATTAAAAACACTACAGTCTTCTATCCACGTTGTAAACCGCAAGGCTACTTCAATAATTATTCTGTCGGATTTTGTTGTTGATCTTTTCTCGCTGATATAATCAAGATGGTTTTGGCGGGAGCTTCCTCAGGAAGATTTCTTTTGCTATTATATTATAATAGATGTGAACCGGATGGAGTAATAGATTCTAGACATTATTCTAAATAGGAGTAAAACTATGGCAAAAATAAAAAATATGACATCTTTTGTTTTTATTCCGAAATAGGACCATATTACTCCTATTTAGAAACATACCTATTTTTCATTCCGTTCTTATCCCTTCTTTAAATATAAGTAAAAGGTAATGAAAAGTCATAATTAAATCTTTTAATTCATAATAAATTCGTACAAAATAATAAAAAACAGAAAAATAAAAAAAAATTATAAAATAAAAGCTTTAAACAAATTTAAATTGTTTTAAAAACTAATAAAAAGAGTAAAAATTCATAAACAATAATACAAAATATGGATGTCTTTCCCATCTCTTGTACCGTCTTCCCGCACCACCACTTTCGACCTATATAAAAATGCCATTTTTCTAAAAAAAATTGACATTTTTTTCTCAAAATGCCAAAAAATGACATATTACTCTTTGAGAATGCCTAAATCTTCATTGAATCTGTCATGAATACGGCATTCCTAATGAATGTGTCATCCCCCTCGTGATTGGAGGTGGTGGTGCTGGGGCGGCAGAGGCGGCGGTGATTTTTTTTGCATATTTTTTTATTTTTTAAAATTATTCTTTTTAAAATATTTTTATTAATTTTTTTAGTATTTTTTACGTTTTTTATTATTTTTTATGATTTTATTGTGAATTAAAACATTTCAATAGTTACAAGGGTATATTTGTCCAAAACACACATATTTAATCCTATGAAACATAGTTTAATTTTTTGATCCTATTTATTCAAACGGACCGACTTTTAGTCATATATGCACAATTGACTCTTATTATAATCAATTTTGACTACATGTTTTTTGTACTATTAATATTTAAGTCACCTAGTGTAATAAGAAGGCATAAATTTTACTACGTATATGTTTACTTTTAGAGTTTTATGAAGCATAAAGTTGAAAATGTTACAATGAAACTGGACTGATATTATGATCCAGAGTCCATAGAAGGAACGATGTCATCCTATTCTTGAGGACCCCAGAAGCGACCAAACACTTATCTGGGAGCTTTTGATCACACTGATGAAAGAAATCGAGAATAAACTGAAAATGTATATCATATTTAAGTCTGGTGACCGGTTGTTATTGGGGCATTTGGGGGGCAACAGGCCCAGAAATGGGGAAACAATTCGGCCATATATTCGGCCTTTACAATATGACTGGATAGACCGATTTTCAATCCCAATCTAATATTTTCTTCCGATTCATTGGACTTTTTTCAACAATTCTTCTTTGGTGATTTAAATTTTTTTACCACTTTTCTATTAAAACAATTAATTTTTAGTTTTCCTCATTTCACTTTTCATTTAATTAATTTTTTCAATCAGATAATTTTTATTTTTATACTTTCTCACTAGGCAAGTAGGCAATTGTTTTTGGACCATGCTTGGTGTACACAAGATTAAACAAAATGTGTACATTGCCTATGTACATAAGCAATTGAATATCAAATTCTGCCCTTTTCTAAATTTAGGTACAATTTAGGTACAACTTCATTTTCAACAATTCTTCTTTGGTGATTTAAATTTTTTTAGCCAAGCCGGCAATGCCTATGCTTAGATCCGGTCCGATTGCCACGTGTCTAACTACTCCAAGAACAGCAAATGACGGGAAGGCGGAGTAATTGCATCCGCTTAACAAAAATACGGAGTAATAATAATACGGAGTAAAACTATTCAGATAATCAGATTCGAGGACCGAGGATCTTGGAAACTCACCCGAGCAGAGAGGATCGACTCATCGACATCCACGAGGCGACGAACCGTCACGAACGACAAGTCGCCGACGGCCGACGCAGCGACGCTTGGACGCCTGCCATCATCGGTGCTCAGTGGCCTAAGCCTTTTGGTGCGCTGCACGCGGCACGCCTGCTGCCTCGCTTTACTTCTCGGGAGTTCTGGAGACTGGTACTCCTCTAATCTTCTTTAACTCTTTATCGATTATTTATGAAGTATGAAGTGATCATATAATCATATTTATAAATCATAATTGTTGACCGTTTTCTGTTGATTTGTTCTGCCTTGAGCCTCTGTTGATGTTGAGTTTACTTGATTTCTTAATTAATTGATTTGTTGAACGCTGAGTAGTGATTTAGTTGCTTGGTTGATGTTGCGGTTCTGCTTTATTAATTGATTAGTTCATTATTCTGTTATGCAATTAAATCTGGGGTTTTATTAGTATTAATTTGTTTGGTAAATTTTTTGAGTTATAATTAAATTAACAATTTTATGTAATTTCAAGTTGCAAGAACAATGGTTGAATCTCAATGTGAGAAAGAAAACAGAGGAGATGATGAAAGAAAGCGGCAATTTAATTATTAATGACTGATGATTTCTAATCTGGATGTTAGAAAAACTTGATTATGAAGCTAACAGTTGTTTAAAATTTTTCTAATCATGAGTACTTTCTTGAGTTAGATACTGTTACTCTTTAAGTAGAAAGTTTTCTTCTTCATACTTTCTCTAACTCCTTATTTAAGGATGTGAAAGGACTTGGTGACCAGAAGTTAGTATAAACTAAGAAACATAGGGCATTTCCTTTAGTTTATAAAATTTTGACTTCAGCAATTGATTCCTCCGGTTGCAACAACTAGCGTTGAAAGAATGTTTTCTGCAATCAATATCGTGAAGGATAAATGAAGCAACTGAATGAGTGATGACTAGCTCAAAGATTGACTTATTGTGTGTGTAGAAAACAAATTCTTCATGAAAATTGACAATGTCATGATCAAAAGATATCAGTCTGGTGAATTTGTATTTGACTTTGATGAAAAGTTGAAAACTTTTTGTTAATGTAAAACACTAATTATATTTATCTGTATTTTACTTAGTTATTGCAATTAAATATTATTTGTATATATATTAAATTTTTGCCCCCCACTGGATTTAAATGCTAGATCCTCCCAGTTGAGATCTGCTGTCTCTTCCGCGCTTCTCAACAATTTTATTCCACAATTTTACTCTCCTTACTGTAAGAAATCTCAAAGATGAGCTGGTGGTGGGCCGGAGCTATTGGCGCTGCCAAGGCAAGTCCTCCTCCCATCCTCTCCCTCCCTTTTACACTAGATTGGTAATTACTCATGATTTTTTGTAGTAAATTTGATTATGATCTATGCAGAAAAGGATTGACGAAGATGACGTACCACGGAAGCACCAGAGTGTGGCTCTCATTATCGGCGTCACCGGTATAGTCGGCAACAGCCTTGCTGAAATCCTCCCACTTGCCGACACACCTGGTGGCCCTTGGAAGGTTTATGGTGTCGCCCGCCGCCACAGACCAGCCTGGAACTCTGATCACCCAATCCAATACGTCCAGTGTGATATCTCCGATCCGGATGATGCCAATTCAAAGCTTTCCGTTCTCACTGACATCACTCACGTCTTCTACGTAACATGGACGAACAGATCCACCGAAGTGGAAAACTGTGATGCGAACGGGAGAATGTTCAGGAATGTTCTCAATGCAATCATCCCCAATTGCCCTGATTTGAACCACATCTGCTTGCAAACGGGTAGGAAGCACTACTTGGGTCCGTTTGAGTTGTATGGTCAAGTTGCTCATGACCCGCCCTATGATGAGGATTTGCCCCGATTGGAAGCACCCAATTTTTACTACACCCTTGAGGATATCCTATTCGAAGAGGTGAAAAAGAAGGAAGGACTAACATGGTCTGTTCATCGCCCTGGCACGATCCATGGCTTCTCTCCTTACAGCATGATGAACATCGTTGGAACTCTCTGTGTCTATGCGGCCATATGTAAGCACGAGGGAGTCCCATTGAGATTTCCCGGTGTGAAAGCTGCCTGGGAAGAGTATTCCGATTGCTCTGATGCAGATTTAATTGCAGAGCAAGAGATATGGGCAGCTGTGGATCCATACGCGAAGAATGAATCTTTCAATGTGAGCAATGGAGATGTGTTCAAGTGGAAGCATTTCTGGAAGATTCTGGCTGAACAGTTTGATGTGGAAGCTGGAGAATTCGAGGAGGGGAAGAGGTTGAGTTTAGTGGAGGTCATGAAGGAGAAAGGGGCTGTTTGGGAGGAGATTGTGAGAGAAAATGAGTTGTTGCCTACGAAATTAGAAGAGGTTGGTGTGTGGTGGTTTGTGGATCTTATCTTGGGTGGAGGTTGTCCACTAGATACCATGAACAAGAGCAAAGAACATGGGTTTTTGGGATTTAGGAATTCCAAGAAGGCCTTTGTTTCTTGGATTGATAAGGTGAAAGCTCTCAAGGTTGTTCCTTAGCTACTTGGTCACTATATGTGGGTGCTCTTGTGGTTTTGTGTTTATTTGTACCATATTTGTGGCAAAATATTGTTCTTTATGTAATGATGCTTTTTGAATAAATGGGCAATAATACTTGCATCTTCTTTGTTAATCAAGCTTAAAATGTTTACTTTGCTGATCAAGAATAAATAACATTTAGCGTATTTATTTGGCTGAAATTGATTTTACCATAGTACTTTGCGTTTTTTCTTTGAAAGTTCAGGATATTTGGCCATTTATCAAGAATACATATGTTTATTTTTATTTATTAGAGAAGTTTTAAGCTGTCTTCTAGAGGAAAGATGGGACAACGTTGAGGTCGAATCCATGCCTCCATGGTAATGAGGTCGTTAGAGGCTTGGAGGGATCTAAGGTATTCTTATTGATGATACAATATCGAGTAACAACGTTAGTTTTATTAGCTAATTACATGCCAATTGTTTTGTGAATTAAATGCTCACGTTGTTTTAGCTAAAGCATTCGTCTATATATGTGAACATTGCTGTTCTTGACTTCTTGGTAGGTATTGATGGACTCGGGCCGGGTCGGGCCCGGGCCGGGCCTAGGCCCGGTCGGGCCGCCGGGTAGTATGACATGGGCCCGGGACCGGCCCGAGGGTTGGACGGGTCTGGTTCGGGCCGGGCCATCCGCCCGGGTCACGGGTCGGGTCCGGTTCGGGCCGGGCCGGTTAATTTTTTTTATAATTTATATTTTATAGTTTATAGTTTTATACGAGTATTAAAAACAAACTTCAATTGCATTTATTTGAAATGAAATAGGAACTACATTTGAAAATTAGAACAAACTTTAAGAGATAAAACATTTTGAAAATTGTAATCAATCGGAACTTCCCGCACCTCCCGATCCTTTGGCTTTGTCACATGACTTCATATGTTTGATTGCCATCCTGAATCCGCCTGAAACCCCCATGCTACATTTTTTCTCGCACCATTTGCAAATTGCGTACCACATCCCGGTCTTCGGGTCCTTCTGCTTATCAAAATTATACCGTATAATGGCATCTTGATTTTCCATCTTAACTTCTTAAGTATAAACTATAAAGTAGATATATAAATAATAAATATAATATATTGGAGAATAAGAGAATTAGAGAGTAGAGAGTTAAGAATAGGATTTAGGAAGAATTGGAGAAGAGATATGAAAAAATGTTTAAGATTAGGAGTATTTATAGGTTTTTTTACCCCCCACCCCACCAGCCAACCCCCCGGACCCCCCCTTTACCCCACCCAACGGCTATATAGCCGTTTGGGTTGTCCCCAGCCCCACCCCCACCCCCAACGGCTAGTAGCCCAAACCAATTTTTTTTTTGAAAAAATTAGACCCGGACCCGGGCCCGACCCGGCCGGGCCGGGTCACAATAATCCAGCACCGAGCCCGCCCCGCCCCTTCCCACCGGTTCGGGTCCATACCTGGTCCCGGACCGCCCGACCGGGCCAGTCCCGGGCCCGCACAATACCGGGCCGGGTCACGGGCCGGGTGGCCCGAACCGAATCCATCCCTATTGGTAGGCATGGACTGGTTCCGGTTCAGGACCGGGTTGGATCGGGTGGCGTTTTCGTTTTTTTTTTTGCGTTTCTAATTAATTCCTACCCCACACCCCAAACCCCTTCAAAACACCCCGCCCAACCCGCCTACCACCCAAAGACTTTGAAAAAAAAAATTGGCCCGGACCGACCGGGCCGGTTCCAAAGAAACCCTTGGCCTGAGCCCATCCCCAAAACACCCCCGAGTCAGGCCGGTCCTGCACAGCGGTGGGCCGTGTCGGTTCTCAGTCCATCCCTAGTTCTTGGTATGCTTTTCCCCCTTCCTTTATTGTGGGTTCGTTGAACAGTATTTGATTGATAGAACTAATATCATTTCCCTAAAAACCAAATAGACCTTACCAAACATGCCCTAACGTGTCAATTTGCAAGAGGGAGAAGCATTCGTTCGTCTTGTATAGTTTGTAGTAGGGATGGACTCGGGCCGGGTGGCCCGACCCGGAACCGGCCCGGCCCGACCCGGTGGCCCGGTCAGTGACCGGTCCGGGTAGGCCCGGCCCCTGGGTTTTCCGGTCCGGGCTCGGGTCACCCAAAACAAGGCCCGACCCGGCCGGGCCCGGGCCCGGTTCGGGCCAAAAACTATTTTTTTTCAATTTTTTTTAAATTTTCGGGTTGGGCTGGGTATTTTGGGCCATTTAGGGTGGTTTGGGGGGTTGGGGGTGGGAGGGGGGTTAATTAGGAAGAGGAAAACAAAAAAAAAATTAATGGGCCCGGCCCGGACCGGACCCGGTGGTTACCCGGGCCGGTCCCGGGTCCACCATTTCTGACCCACCGGCCTGCCCGGGCCTAGGCTCGACCCGGACCCGGCCCGGACCCGAGTCCATCCCTAGTTTGTAGGTCTAGTGTTTCTCAGAGTGCTCAAAATACTTTGCTTATAAGCTGTAACAATCTCTAAGAGGGAGAAGGAGAAGCATTGACACTAAATCTTACCATCACTTCAATGCAACTCATGGAATGGGTCTGTGCATCAAAGATGTGCATATAGGCTGATTAGCTTAGAGCTCTACTTGGGTATGCCCACTAAAAAAGATTGCCCTATTTGGGGCACATTTAATTTGATGATCAACATACTGTGATGATTTAGGGATTAGGTTCCAAGGTTGAAAGCTTAAACAATCAATAAAAATATGAAACAATAAGTTAAGTTGTACTCAATGTTCAAGACGCTAGTCGTTAGTTGAGCGTCAACCCAGTGCCTAGGCGGGGATTAATGGAGACAAATAAATTATATATTTTTTAAAGATTTTGCATAAATACTACTCCCTCCGTCCCTCTTATACTGTCTCGTTTTACCTTTTCGGGAAGTCCCACTAAAATTGTCCCATACCATATTTGGTAAAATTTGTGTGGTTCTAAATCATTCTTACTTTATTCTTATTTTATCAATTAATATCAACCACACAACCCCACTTTTCTTAATAATCGTGTCACTCTCTTCTGACCCAATATAAGAGGGACGGAGGTAGTATAAGTTTTGTGTTTGTGTGTGTAAAATATATATTTAAATACTATCCTTCATTCCGTTTTAATCGCAACATGTTGAGTTTATACTATTCGTATGCTCTACTTTGACTACATTTTACGTTATTATTTTATGAAAATTATTTTTAAAAAAATATTGTTCAATTCATCTCATTACAAATATTCAAAGTCTGATTTTTAATATTTTTTTACTAATAGAATTAAGATATAATTACGGTCAAAGGCGTGCGTTGGCAAATGTGAAATGTTGACCGTTGAAACTAAAAAAGAACGAATGAAGTATATAAATACACACATTTAAAAATATAATATATCAACTCATTTAACTTCATTTTTGTAATAATTATTAAATTATAATGAGACTTTGATGAGGCGTATATATTTTATAGAGTTAGACTTTTAATTAAAAAGACTTTGATGAGGAGTATTATTTTAACAAAAAAAGGATGACACCTCATCCATGAGTCTCCAACCCGGACCGGACGGTACATTGAGAGGATGTAAATTGAACTATAATCTCAATCTGACAGATAAAAAATGGAGATCTGTCCCCGATACTTGCAGAAGTCATATGCATTTTTAGCATAGTAATCCTCATCGCAATTAACGAGATTAGAACTCAAGACCTGACTCACTCCCTTTGTAGCACTTAAGTTAAGCTAAGCTTACCCGTAAGAGGAGTACTACGTACGTAGTATTATTTTAACAAAACATTGTTATACTCCATATGTTTCAAGCAAGAGTACAACCACACTTGTAATACCAAGAACACAATTAACCCTGCATTGGGATTCGTGCTCCATAAAGAGCCTAGTTGTCACAAAAGACTCAACTTCTTTTCTCTTCCTCTTTCTTAACACGCTTCTCCCTCTCGAAACGCCGAAAACCCCAAATCAAAAGAACCGACCTGGGTTTTGGGAGGGTTTAACGTTCATGCGTAAAAATGAGCCTCAGAAACTGTTTGAAAACCCGGCCAACTCTGCACCATTTATGGAAGGAACAATCCGTTGTTGATTCCATCGGGGCCCCGACATTCAGAACCCTCCACCGCCACCAACAAGCAAAAGTCTACTCTCGATTCCCCCAATCTATTTACCAAAAAGCCAAAGAGACTGAACTGTCGATACGCACTATAACATCACTGCCGTTCTCCTCCTGGACTCGCTTGACAGCCGCCGTTAAGGTCGGGTTTGTCGGGAGGTACTTGGAATTGTTGAAGACGCGGCCAATTCTCACCAAGAGCGTCACCTGTGCTGTAATTTATACCGCCGCCGATTTATCATCACAGGTTCCCTGTTGCCAATTCAATGCTTCTCAGCATTTTAAAGAATATTTATTTACCTTTTTTGTCCCCCAAAAACTAAAAGTTGCGTTAGGCTTATTGTCTTTTTGTTTGTATACTGGAAAAATTCCCAATCTTTACTAAAACCTGCAACTTTTGATATATTTTAGGTTTACTGGAAAAATTCCCAATCTTTAATATGTATGCCTCTTTGTAGTAATTTTATAACATCCAATAATGAGTGGCAGAGTCAGCTGTATATGTGATACCTCTTTCCAAGTTGCCTTGTTCATCCCCACCCCCAATTCAGAATTGCAATTTTGAACATTTTGAAGTATAATGGAAAAAGATCCAATCTTTATTACGATTTGGGTTTTTCACAATTCCTGTGATTGTCAAATTTTTGGCATTCTATCTTATTCACAATAATTTGATTTCCCTCTATTCAATTCTGAGTACCAAATCAATCCAAATGAGGCCTTCAACAATAAAATTACATAACCTGCAATATTTGCACTGCTGAAATAGTGAAAAGACATATCTTCAGACACTTTCAGGTTCATCATCCTTGGAGCAGTATGACCTTCTAAGGACACTACGCATGACTGGTTATGGGATGTTGATTTTAGGACCTTCCCTGCATTTTTGGTTCAACTTTCTTTCAAGGGCTTTTCCAAAGCAAGATCTTAGAACAACCATTACAAAGATGGCATTGGGCCAGACTGTATATGGACCTATTATGACTGTTGTTTTCTTCTCCGTAAATGCTGCTTTGCAAGGTGCTATTATTTAGTAAAATTTCCCCTTTCCTTAATTTCTTTGATATCTGGTATGACAAAGTGCTTACATTTGAAGTTTTTGCCTGGGGGACAACAGGTGAAAATGGAGATGAAATTCTTGCACGGCTAAAACGCGATTTTATCCCCACAAT